CCTATGAGCCCAAATGCATGGAATAATGTATATAAAAATGCACTTTGTAAATTTCAAAACACACTGCAAATATTAGCCAAATAGCATCAGGAGTATCTCTTGAGCCCTACATATGTGTCGTGGGTAACAGTGTTTTACATACATAGTTCTTTCTTCCCGCATAATTCAAACCACCTTATCTGTGTTATTTCATAAATAGACTGTAAAGCTGGAACAGACTTAAAGATTATCTACTATAAACTTTCCATGTAATAAGTGACACACCGAGTCCCAGAGATTAGGTGACTTGCCCAAGGTCACACAGCTAGTGAGGGGCAGAGCCAGCAACACCAAGATTCTTCCTGTTTACACTAAAAAGCACAACTTCGGGAATTTAGAAGGAAATAGGAGATTTTGGTTCTTATTTATATTGATGAAGAAAGTGAGGTTCTGTGGGTTGAAGTGAGAATCCTTTAATCTCCACACATCTCCTAGGCCTTTGTGGCATGAGCTCTACCCTCCCTCCGCTAAGTCCCCCTCCTTGGAAATCCTCCAAACCTCTCTGATGCGACAAAACTCACATGTCATTACTAGCCGCATTCTAGCTTGTAAGGGGTTTCACGTAGCGTACCGTGCATAATTTTGTGGTGTACATGTGCATTATAAATCCCATGACTATTTGCTCTTTGTTCAACTTCAAGTGGGTCTCTTTATCTCACAGTTCTCCTTGGAGTATAATATCTATAGTCAAGGAAGGCAAAGAGGCAGGCAGGATATTGATGTTTTTTGTGGGCCAGCTATTAGGAACTGAAGATACTCTCATACAAATCATCTCATTTAATCCTCACAACGACCCTCCAACCAATGAGAAAACTGAGGCTCGGAAGGATGGGTTGACCTCACCTAACCGCCCAGCAGAACCAGCATCTGAGCCCAGGTCTGTCTTGCTTCTAAAGACCATGCTTGGTACCTCCCTGGCGGTACAGTGGTTAAGAGTCCACCCTGCAATGTGGAGGACACAGGTTCGATCCTTGGTCGGGGAACAAGGATCCCACATGCTGTGGGGCAGCTGAGCCCATGCACCGCAACTACTGAGCACACGAGCCACAGCTAGAGAGGCCGCATGCCACAACTACTGAGTACTCGCACCACAACTAGAGAGAAGCCTGCGCACTGCAACTAAGACCCGAGGCAGCCAGAAATAAATAAATAAATATTCAAAATAAAAAAAAGATCACGCCTGCCCTATGGCATTATGCTGTTCTGCAAACCTTGCTTAAGGCCACAGTGCACCTCACAGGTGCTTAATAAATGCAGATAATGGCAAAAGTGCTTTCTTTACAATCTGGAGAATATTCACTTGCAAGCCTATACTTTGGGAGTCAATTTAAAAGCCTGTGGACTTTTAAAAACTACAGTGAGATGTCACCTACACCAGTCAGAACGGTCATCATCAAAAAATCTATAAACAATAGAAGCTGGAGAGGATATGGAGAAAAGAGAAACCTCCTACACTGTTGGTGGGAATGCAAACTGGTATAGCTACTATGGAAAACTGTATGAAAGTTCCTTAAAAAACTAAAAATAGAGCTACTGTATGATCCAGCAATCCCAGTATATATCCGGAGAAAAACACGGATCGAAAGGATACACGCACCCCAACATTCAGAGCAGCACTGTTTACAATAGCCAAGACACTGAAGCAACATAAATGTCCATCGACAGATGAATGGGTAAGGAATATGCGGCACATATACACAATGGAATATTACTCAGCCATTGAAAAGAATGAAATAATGCCATTTGCAGCTACATGGATGGACCTGGAGATTATCATGAAGTGATAGTAAGTGAAGTCAGACAGAGAAAGGCAAACATCATATGATTTCACTTATATGCGGAATCTAAAAACATGATACAAATGAACTTATTTACAAAACAGAAACAGACTCACAGACTTGGAGAATGAACTTATAGTTACCGGGGGGGGGGACGGGGGGGAGGAGGGATAGACTGAGAGTTTGGGACCGACATGCATGCACTGCTGTATTTAAAAGAGATAACCAACAAGGACCTACTGTATAGCACAGGGAACCCTGCTCAATATTCTATAAAAGCCTAAATGGGAAAAGAATTTGAAAAAGAATAGATACATGTATATGTAAAAAAAATAATAAAATAAACTACAAAAATAAAAGCCTGTGGAAAATTTACCTCAAGCCTATAAGAAATGAACTGAGGCTAAACTACAAGAAAAAACACTTGCTCATGAAAGCACAAGAATATTGCATTAAGTTAACATAAATACTGGCTATGTTTTGCTTATTCAGAGCAAAATGCCAGCCAGCACATTTTGGACAGCTCACATTGCCACCTGTATCTATGCACATGCAGGCAAAACTGTTTCAGAAGCATTCTGAACCAGACTTTAGGATTAGCTTATCAGCTACATCCAACAGACAGTGATGGGACCCAAACTGAGTGTGTGGCTCCACGCTCACCGCTGAACTTGCTGCAGACAAGCCAGGGATCTGCCCCACTGTCGCGATCAGAGTTGGTGCTGTTTACTTGAGAAGGTGTAACTTGCCATGTTCAAATGCTGCAGGAATCTTTCCACGGCCCCTTTTGAGTCTGGCATCCTTTCCATCTATTGCTACTTGATGTGAGCTTCCAAAGTCAGTGGTGTGAACATACCACCTTCTTTGCTAAACCCCTTTCTACATGATTTGACTAATCTATGGAGCAGTGGCCAGGAATGGTACATCTAGACAATGACAAAGAAGTACCACAGTATATAAGTATATACTTGGTAAACTAATTTTCCCCCCTGCCACTCTCAAAGCAATATAAACTTTGTTGTTCCTCCTGGATCTCAAATGCTTCTAATAAATTCTTTGAAATGTCAGTAATGTTGAACTGAGGGTTTTTTTTTTTAAAGGAGATTTTCTTTCTTTCATAAAAGGAAAAATTCTCCCTTGCCAAGAATGTAGCTAAATATGTTCTGTTTATTTTATTCAGGGCTGAATACGGTTGGATAAAGGGACTCCCGTTTCTCACCCAACCTCTTGCTGAATGAGGGAATCGTGAATGAAGCCCTCCATTTACTGGATAGTCAAATAAACAGAAATAAATTCATACTCTTTCATATCTGTAGTATAATTAACATTTGCTTAACAAATGTATAGCCTACAAAGCATTTTCATTAGTATGTTATATTTAATCTTCATGAGAACTCTCTGGGCTTGGATGGATTTTCTCATCCATAATAATGACATTTCCTTTGGCTAAGAGGAAGACTTACTCACTCTGTGTGGACAATTCCAGTTTCTAAAAGGTCCTCATGGCCTGGGTTGCTCTGGGAGAATGTTGTCTACATAGTAATACTTCTGTCATTTTCACCAAACTTATTAATCTCATAAACCATAAATTAGTTCAGTGAAAAATATCAGTCAAAGAAGTGTTTTGATTGTCGTAACATTTCAATTCAATAAAAAGTGATTGGTTTATTAGACCTGTACAATACACAGGAGGATGGGCTTCTACGGCGCCTCCCTGTCCCAATCCATTATCCAACATGCACTTGTTTTTCTACCGTGCAAAATTTGGTACGATTTTCAAGTTCAACTAGAAAGTGGCATCCAACACCTGGCTGAAATTTCCAGTGCACAGAATGCCCTTGACCTTGGAGAATATTTGCTAAGTAAGTCATTTACACAGCTGGTAGCCAAGCTGAGACAAGTGAGGAACTCATTTCAGGCACAAAATTTAAGGGTGTTGGGTTTCCCTGGTGGCGCAGTGGTTAAGAATCTGCCTGCCAATGCAGGGGACACGGGTTCGAACCCTGGTCCGGGAAGATCCCACATGCCGCGGAGCAACTAAGCCCATGCGCCACAACTACTGAGCCTGTGTGCCACAACTTTTGAAACCTGCACGCCTAGAGCCCGTGCTCCACAACAAGAGAAGCCACCGCAATGAGAAGCCTGCTCGCCGCAACTAGAGAAAGCCCACGAGCAGCAACAAAGACCCGACGCAGCCATAAATAAATAAATAAATAAATAAATAAATATGCAATTAAAAAAAAATTTAAGGGTGTGCCCCCCCCCACACTGATTAAGATGAATAACATCTAATGCGATATTTTAAAAAAATCAAAATGAATGCAAAAAATTCATGACCAACAAAATCAGTGTTACTGATTTTTCCTCTTGCCTCAGACTCCAATACGGCTCAATACAGTTACTGATCCTATATTTTAAAATGCGATATTTAGTTCATCATGGATTTTGGCATTCATTTTGATTTTTGAAAGACTGAATTAAAATATGACCTCTCTTGACGACTGCAGTTTTGGGTGCGCTTTGATTCTGCATCTGAGAATGAACGCCTCACTTGTCTTATCTTAGTCTTGGTCCAGGCGAGGAGAATTTTACATTTGACCCAGCCCTGTGTAGACTGAGTTCTACTAGAATTTATAATGACCACAGAGGGGTTATATAAATATGCCTGCCAAAGGTACCAGAATATGCCATCCCAAAATATGCCACTTGGACATGAGGATTATTTTGCACTGAAGGGAATTGAGAATCAGTAGATACAAGAAAAGCTCTCTGCCAACCTCCTGTTTTGCCTAAAAGCAGGACATAAATTTGTAAAGGTGGCTCCCCTCCCCTCTCTACCAGGAAGGACAGGAGTTAATTACTGGAGACAAGTCTAGACCCTTAACAGCCCAGAGATGGCACCAGAAGAATCTGTATAACAAATCTTGCTTATCTACTATGAGTTTCCCCATATATTTGCCACCCCCCCCCCACAGTTTGCCACACTTAGAAGCTCACAGTCCTTTTCCTCGGTCTTGTCACTTCTCTAAAAATGTATTGTTCCTTTGTTAAGATGCTATATAAGCCTGAGTTTTAACCACCCTTTCGAGTTACTCATCACTAAGTGCTCCCGTGTGTATGCACGATGCATGTGTCATAAACTTTTGTTTGTTTTTCTCTCTTTTTTTTTTTTTTTTAAAAATTTAAAATCTGTCAGTTTATTTGCAGAAACGCGGGGTCAGGACTCCTCGGTGCCCGAGTCGTCCTCGTCCCCGAAGCAGCTGTCGGCCTCGGCCTCGGCCTCGGCCTCGGCATCCTCGTAGTAGTCGTCGTAGAAGAGGTCCGAGCCCTCGTCGGGCACTGGGGCCTTGGTCTTCACACAGTACTCGGCCAGCATGGTGGGCACCTTCACGCCGTCCCGCTCCGCGTCCACCTTGGTCCCCAGGACCTGCTTCCGGATGATGTCCGTGTACTCGCGGTCCTTGCCTTTGCTTTCTTTCCACTTCCGGTACATCACGGAAGCGTCCACGTTGGCCGGTGAGAAGGTGTTGGGCTCGTTGAGGAGGGAGATGACGCTCAGGAGGATGGTCCTGACGTTCTGCGTGGGGTTCCACCGCTCCGAGGGCAGCTCCCCGCTCTGGGGGTCATCGACGGGGGGGTGGAGGATGGAGATGCACACGTCCCCAGTCTCGTAGATGTTGGGGTGCCACATCTTGGTCAGGAAGCGAAAGGCTGGCGGAGAGTAGGGGTAGTCAATGGGGAACTTGAGGCGCGCCTTGAAGTAGCCGCCCTCGTAGTAGGTGTTGGGGGGCCCGAAGATGGCCACCTCCCAGTTGTACAGGTCGCCCTCGTCCACCAGGGTCACGCGGAAGCCCTCCACCGGCTCCTCCTGCAGCCCCTTGAGCTCCAGAAGCAGGGCCTTCTGCGAGCTGGGCACCAGCGGCCGGGCCATGGCGGCGGCGGACGGGCCGGGCCCGGGGCCGCCGGGCTCTCCCTGTTTTTCTCTTCTTAATCTGTCCCTTGTTAGTCTATTTTACAAGCCCCTAGCTTGAGAACCTAGGATGAATAGAGGAAAAAAAGAGTTTTTTCTCCTCTGTACCTGCATAGGTCACTCAAGTGAGTTTTAGAGATTTGTAACATAAAACTCCAAATGAAAGGGAA